ATGGAGCCCCATGGCCGCCAGCCTGGAGCTGCTGCAGATGGCCTGGCATGGGCACACACGTTTTCAGACTGGGCGCCTCGGGACAGGTGAAACCCCTCTGAGGCTCTTGAGCCTTCACAGACATGCTGCTCAGGGACAGCGGGCTCAAGCCTCTCTGCTCTACTTAGCCTGTGTGATTGTCCCCTGGGGTCCCAAGTGTGTCCCTCACCAGAAGCCCTCCTCTTCCCTGTGCCCGGCAGCCCCTGGCACTCCACACCAGGGACTGGAGTTTCACCCAGTGGCACAAGGATGAATTGCAGCCAGTGTTCTATGGCTGAGTGGCTTCCTGGGCCCCACCCAGAGCTGGCTTCTGTAGGCAGCTAGGCAAGGTGTGGGCACCTTCAGCCCTGACAAACACGGCTGGTGTAGCCCACTGTGTATGGCCAGTGCTTCGGTAGGGTTAGGTTTGGTGTGAGTTTGCTAGTTTTGTTGTTTTTGAGACAAGGTCACACTCTGTAGACCAGGATGGTCTCAAACTTGAAGCCATCCTCCTGCCTCAGCCTCCCAGTCCGCCTGTAGTAACTGACAGGGACTGTGGTGATGTTACACTTGGCCTCCCTGGAGCTTCTGACCGCTCACCCTCCTTTCAGTGCCAAGAAGCGGGAAGGTGAACTCACGGTGGCCCAGGGCCGCGTGAAGGACCTGGAGTCCCTGTTCCACCGGAGCGAGGCAGAGCTGGCCTCAGCCCTCAGTGACAAACATGGGCTGGAGACAGATGTAGCTGAGCTCCGAGCACAGCTGGCGAAGGTGAGTCTGGCAATGCTGATGTCCTGCTTCCCGGTTGACATGGAGAAGCCCAGGTGGCAGCCGAGCCAGGTGGCCGTCCCCTCAGCTCGCTGCCCTGTGTCTCCCAGGCAGAGGATGGTCACGCCGTGGCCAAGAAGCAGCTGGAGAAGGAGACGCTGATGCGTGTGGACCTGGAGAACCGCTGCCAAAGCCTGCAGGAGGAGCTGGGCTTCAGCAAGAGCGTGTTCGAGGAGGTAAGCATGCGTCAGCTGGACAGACACCCTCCCCAGCTCCTGGAAACCACCCCTTCCACAGGGCCACCTCTTGGCGTCTGCTCCAGTGCTTCCTGTCCCCTGCAGCTTCTTACGGATTCCCTCTTTTGGGTTTTATTTGGTTGTTTTTGTGTTTCTTTGTTTCCTCTGGGGTGGGAGGAGGGCTCATGTAGCCAGAATAACTCAGGCCTTCAGATTTGGAGCAGCCACCTTCACCTGAGGGATCATCTTGCCAGCCTTGGGTCTCTCTTGACATTGGTCACTGGATTTCCAGGCCGTCTGAGTCATTGAGAATCTCGTATCAAAAATGTGAAACTTAGTTGGGTACAGTATCGCAGTCTTTAGTCCCAGCATGAGGGCAGAGGGCAGAGGCATGCAGGTCTACTGGTCTACACGGGGAGTTCCAAGACAGCCAGGGCTCTTGAAAGACTAAACAAACAAACAGACCAAATCCAGCTTAAATTGGGTCAGCAAGATGGCTCAGTGGTTAAAGGCGTGTGCTGCCAAGACTCACAACCTCAGATGAACCCCCAGAAACCACATAGTAGAAGAAAACTGACCCCACAAATTGTCCTCTGATCTCCACAGCCGTATCCTGGCACAATAACACTCCCACAAATACACACTCATAAAAATCAATGTCAAAAGAACCTTAACTTAGCCTGTCTACTTAAGGTCACCATCCCAGGTCTGAGGAACAGGAAGTGACCTTGATTTATGGAGACCTCATTCAGCCAACGTTGGGGTCTCCCCCTAACCCTCTAGCACTCTGGGGTGCTGAGCGTGGCTGGAGTGACCAAGCCTAGATGCAGCTCTGCCCCACAGGCTCCCAGGGACCCAGCCATCACACTGCCCATTGTGTCATCACAGCCCAGAGCAGTGGCCCCGGTCCTGCCTGTGGTCACTGCTGAGGAAGAGCCTGGACAGGAGACAGGCCTGTGGAGATGTGGGGCCACAGGCAGTTCTAGCCAGGGCCAACCAGAGGGGCCGCTGCCCTGCCATCCCCGGAGGCCATGTGAGCTTCAGTGTAGAGCCCTATGAGGGGAGCCCCGAGGGACCCTGACCTCAGGAAGGAACCCACAAAGAGACCTGTGCAGGACTTGAGCCTGTGGGAGAACTGATTCTGGGGAGAGTCCTGTTTGAGACTGTAAACCATGAGGGGAGCTGGAGAGGGACCTCCGAGGGTGTTCACAGACCAAGGCCCTGTGACGGAACCCAGGAGGCAGACCCAGCCTGCAGATGGCCCTAAGAGGAACTGCCTGATGGCAGCCAGGCCTTTGAAGGAGACTGTAGAGGGTTGTGGGAGGGAGCTCAGCCCAAGACCACTGAGGGGGTGCGTGAGGCAGAGCCTGAGGGGGCTTGTAAGGACCCCTGGGAAGACACTCTCAGAAGGAGCCCTAGGGGCTCCCAGGACTTGGAAGAGACACCTCCAGGTCCCTGCGAGAAGGCAGATGAGGGGTGCACAGCCAGGAGCCGCCTCTCGAGCAGCTGTTCGGGGCACCAGGAAGGTATGTGTTCTGTCTTGAGAAGCTTGTGGGAGGCCACTCCATCCTAGATCCCTGTGCTAGAGTCGGTTTTGTAGGGAAACTAAGATCCAGTCAGGGGGTGGTGGTCACACCTTTAATCCCAGTCATTGGGAGGCAGAGGCAGGCGGATCTCCATGAGTTCCAGGATAGCCAGGGCCCTGTGTCAAAAAAAAAAAAAAAAAAAAACAAGAAACAAAACAGAGTTCCATCCAAGTTGATCCCCACCTTCTCACATTAGCCGTCTTCCTGTAGACGCTGCTGTCATGGCCACGCCTCCCCACTGTCCTGCTGTCTGGGGCTGCTCTGCTCCCAGCTGTATCTGGAACTCCAGGCACCTGGGTAGGCTCTGTCAGTGGCTACCTTAGATGTCTTGTTATTGTTTGGAGGCAGGGTCTCACTATGTAGCCCTGGTTAATCTGAAACTTAGCGTGTAGACCAGGCTGGCCTGGAACTCGTGAAGGTCCGCCTGCCTCTGCCTCCCGAGTGCTGGGATTAAAGGTGTGCTCCCTCACCACCCAGCTCCTGGCATTCTTTAAAATTTTTTAAGATAGGCTCTGCCTATGACTATGAGCCCAGGCTGGCATTGAGGTTGCAGCCATCTCTTGTCTTTGGCTCGCGAGTGCTGGGATCTCGTGACCTTTCATGCCCGGTTCTCTCAGCACGACCCATTTCATCAGGGTTCCTCCGTGCTGTAGACTGTATCAGAGCCTCGCTCCTGTTCGTGCCCGTATACTCTTCCAGTGTGTTCACGGCCCAGGCTGTTGTCCATCGTGGCTGGGGCATCCACACACTTGATCATTGGTGAGTTGCAGCCTGGCACAGCTGGGTCATTGCCTTCCTGCTCATAGGAGGTGCGGGAGACCCGGCGGAGGCATGAGAGGCGCTTGGTGGAGGTGGACAGCAGCCGGCAGCAGGAGTACGACTTCAAGATGGCGCAGGCCCTGGAGGAGCTGCGCAGCCAGCATGATGAGCAAGTGCGGTTGTATCGGCTAGAGCTGGAGCAGACCTACCAGGCCAAGGTGCAGCCATGGAGGAGAGGGAAGGGGAGCCCGATTCTCTGCCACCTGTGCTCATACTCCCCAACTTCTCTAGCTGGACAATGCCAAGCTGAGCTCAGACCAGAATGACAAGGCGGCCAGTGCCGCCCGTGAGGAGCTCAAGGAAGCCCGCATGCGCATGGAATCCCTCAGCTACCAGCTCTCAGGCCTCCAAAAGAAGGTGATGGAACCTAGCCCTGCCTGCCAAGGCCTCTGCCCGGCCTCTGTGACTCCAAGACTCTAGTCCTCCCCCATCCTGCCCATCCCACCCCTCCACCCACCCTTCTGGTCCCTCACATCTGAGGCTGCAGAGGCCACACTGTGACCCTGCCACACCCTCCCCAGGCCAGCGCTGCAGAGGACAGGATCCGCGAGCTGGAGGAGGCCATGGCTGGGGAGCGCGACAAGTTCCGCAAGATGCTGGACGCTAAGGAGCAGGAGATGACAGAGGTGCGCAACGCCATGCAGCAGCAGCTGGCTGAGTACCAGGAGCTGCTGGACATCAAGCTGGCCCTGGACATGGAGATCAGCGCCTACCGCAAGCTACTGGAGGGCGAGGAGGAGAGGTGTGTGGGGCCAGGGGCCTGGAGATGAGGGAGGGCCCAGGAGAGTGGTGGAGTTCCTGAAAACTGGGGGCGGGTCTGGGTGTCTGGTGGTCAAGGCCTGGAAGTGGGCAGGGCTCCTCAGGCCAGGCCATGCCTTGCCTCCTGGCTACTCTCACACTTCCCTCCCTGCAGACTGAAGCTGTCCCCTAGCCCGTCTTCCCGGGTCACCATCTCTCAGGCCACCTCAAGCAGCAGCAGCAGCAGCAGCGGGGTTGGCATGTCCGTGGGGCGGGGCCGGGGCAAGCGCCGACGGCTGGAAACTGAGGACACCCAGGGTTCACGCAGCAGTGCCTCTGGCTCAGGCATGGGCGTGGGCAGTGGCTCCCGCCTGGCACAGCAGGCCTCAGTCACAGGTGTTGTGAGCATTGACGAGGTGGACCTGGAGGGCAGGTTCGTGCGACTCAAGAACTCCTCAGACAAAGTGAGTGAGGGGCTGGGTGGCTAGGGCCCACGCTCCTATCCTGGAGGCGGGGGTCAAGAACATGCCTGGGTTTCAGGACCAGTCTTTAGGGAACTGGAGGATCAAGAGACAGGTCCTGGAGGGTGAGGACATCGCCTACAAGTTCACGCCCAAGTATGTCTTGCGGGCCGGCCAGACAGTCACGGTAGGTGCCAGGGAATTTGGGGCTTGGGTGGTTCCCAACACTGAGTCCCAAGGTGGGAGGCATTATGTGGACTCCCTGTTCTGAGACCAGCCCGGTGGCCACTAGCTGCCATGTATGACTGCCACACCCCTCAGGGTACCTTACTGTCCAGATGGTATCCTGTGTCTGAGGCCTGGCAGTTCAGTTCAGGGTGGAACATCTGGGCCCCAAGGTACTTGGGATTGCAGTATGGTTCCGCAGCCGAGTGTCTGGGCCACTGTGAACCTGTCTGTCTGTCCACGTCCTGGGCCACTCTGAATCTGTCTCTCTGTCCACGTCCTGGGCCACTCTGAACCTGTCTGTCTGTCCACGTCCTGGGCCACTCTGAATCTGTCTCTCTGTCCACGTCCTGGGCCACTGTGAACCTGTCTGTCTGTCCACGTCCTGGGCCACTGTGAACCTATCTCTGTCCACGCCCTGGGCCACTGTGAACCTGTCTCTCTGTCCATCCATGTCCTGGGGCCACTGTGAACCTGTCTCTCTGTGCACATCCTAGGGCCACTGTGAACCTGTCTCTCTGTCCATCCATGTCCTAGGGCCACTGTGAACCTGTCTCTCTGTCCATCCATGTCCTGGGGCCACTGTGAACCTGTCTCTCTGTCCATCCATGTCCTGGGGCCACTGTGAACCTGTCTCTCTGTCCATCCATGTCCTAGGGCCACTGTGAACCTGTCTCTCTGCACATCCTAGGGCCACTGTGAACCTGTCTCTCTGTGCACATCCTGGGCTACTGTGAACCTATCTCTCTGTCCACGTCCGGGGTCACTGTGAACCTGTCTGTCTGTCCACGTCCTGGGGCCATCCTGCAGGGACAAACCCACTGAAGGGCTTCATTGTGGACAGCCATTGGCTGGCCCAGGCCCTGAGGTGTCTGACAAGGGCCATCTTGGGTCCTCAGGTATGGGCAGCTGGCTCAGGGGTCACCCACAGTCCCCCATCAACCCTTGTGTGGAAAAGCCAGAGCAGCTGGGGCTCTGGGGAGAGCTTCCGCACTGTGCTGGTCAACGCAGATGGAGAGGTACGAACATGGTGGGGTGAGCTCGGTCCCAGGGTCTCCTTTCCCTCACGGCAGCTGTGACTGAGCTGAAGCCGGGGGTGACCCCTAGTGGGGGTATCCAGCACATGGCAACCCTTTTGTGTAGGAGGTGGCTGTGCAGGCCGTGAAGCAGGCATCTGTTCCAGTGAGTGAGAACGGGGAGGAGGAGGAGGAAGAGGAGGCGGAATTCGGTGAGGAGGACCTTTTCCACCAGCAGGTAAGGCGTGCGGCATCACACCTAGTGGGGCTTCAGGTCTGGGTCCCACAGTCCTGCCTCAGACAGCCAGGACACCCTCTCCTCGGCTGGGGGAGAGGAGACTCCAGCTGAGTCTGTGCTGGGGACAAAGCGTGTGGGGACCTGTCTTCTTGCTTGGGAGCAGGCTGCCTAACTCCAGCCCTCATCTTTGCAGGGGGACCCGAGGACTACCTCGAGGGGTTGTCGGCTGATGTGAGACCTGCCCCACGGTCACCAAGGTCCCCACAAATGTCCCTGAAATTATTTTTTATAGTCAGCTCTCATAGTCCTTGGTCCATTTCTAGATGACTGTTGAGCGGCCATGAGAATGTGGGGGGCTCTCCCTGCAGGCTTCACCCCTCCTGTGTCACCTGGTTGATATAGAGGCCTGGGTTAGAAGCCTGCAGGCTGAGGGCCTTGGGCCTGTGGCTGATGCGGGAGGGTCAGGAGCATGGCTGCCTGTTGAGGGTGGACCTTGTGATGCTGCAGTGATTCACTAGTTGAGTTTTCTTTGAAGCTTTTTAAATCAAATCAAATCAAATCAAATCAGGTTGCAGAGGGCTATGGTGATCACCAGCAGCCTATCAGGACGCGGTAGCTCTTCAGACACAGGGCAGTCCCTCTACTCCTGGGGTTGGTCAGAGGGGCTCCAGCTCTGCCCTGAGCCAGCCTCAGGGCATCGGGTCCCTTCTAAAGGTGAGGACCAAGAAGGAGGAAATCCACAGAGGATTGCCACTCCAGTAGACCAAAGGGGACAGATGATGGATGCCCCAGCCAGTGTCTACTCACACGAGTGTAGCCAAACCAGCTGTGTTCATAGTCCCCCGTGTATACACACTGCATGGCCCCTCTGTGACCCCCACCCTGCGGGCTTGGCCTGGACGCTCGCTGTGGTAGAACATAGTTCCACAAGCTCCTGGTGCCAGCTGTCACCTGTCACCTTCACCTCCCCATCACAGACACACGGTATTTTTTTAACGGATGTTTATTTTTTTACATTAGTAATGCAGCTCACTGGGACGCTGCTCTGGGGGTTTTCAGGCCCAAGGCTGCCAGGAATGGAGATCACTGGCGTTCAGCTTCCTTGACTGAGCCGGGAGTCGGGTGGGGGTGTGTGCTGTCTGTCTGCGGGCCCAGCAGGTGGTAGTAGTAGTTCAGGCCCAGACTCCCCAAGGCAAGATCTCTAGGCCATGGGATGCCACTACTGCCCCCGACCCCTCAGAAGATAGCTCCGTTTTCTTTGTGACAAGTGTGGGATCCTGGACTGTGTGTCTAGTTGGTTTCAGGAGTGTGGGCAGGTTGTGGTCTCCACGCAGCTGCACCTGCCCAGGTGCCCTCTGCTGCACCCGGCTGGAGATGTCTTCCATCTGTTTGCAAGCTGGGCTGGAGTAACCCTCAACCCCACAGGGGTCCTGTTTTGGTGCCAGCAGGCGAGGCGGTTACAGGGGTGGCACTGCAGCTGGGGAGCAGCCTGCACTACGCACATCGCTCAGCTTTACAGGTTCTGTTTCTTTTCTAAGATGCATGCCAAACATGTGTTTCGCCTTTTTCTTCCCCCTCCTATCATTTGTAATATCCATTTTACGACTGGAAACTTTTGTACACTCAAATAAAAATTTTGATTTTAACCACAGCCTCTGAGTTGATTTTTCTGGCCCCCACAGCGCCGAGCGCCTGCGAGAATTTCATGTGCGGGTGCTTGGGCGACACGTGCACATGCGCGGCGGTGACTTGATAAAGTCATTTTGCGCCTGCAAGAAAATGTACAACCACAACCGGCTGTACAACCGGGGCTGGAGAGATGGCTCAGAGGTTAAGAGCATTGCCTGCTCTTCCAAAGGTCCTGAGTTCAATTCCCAGCAACCACATGGTGGCTCACAACCATCTGTAATGGGGTCTGGTGCCCTCTTCTGGCCTGCAGGCATACACACAGACAGAATATTGTATACATAATAAGTAAATAAAATAAACATTTAAAAAAAAAAAATTTAAAAAAAAAAAAAAAAAAAAGAAAATGTACAACCTTTTGGGAGTTGTAGTCTAGGTTTCATTATCTGCGATAACCCAATGGACACTCTGGGTTTTTCCTAGGGACGGCGCGCAAAGTCTTGTGGGAACTGTAGTTTGAACTTTACCACAGCACCGCGGACAATCGCTTGTCGGGGCGCGCTCGGAATTGTGGGAGATGTAGTTTGGTTCGTTTCCATGGTGACTCGGACCACAGCTTCCTATGGGACTGGTAACGTGGCGCGCAGCCTTATGGGAACCGACGCGGCCTCCGTTTCCCGTGGTGCCCCGGCTTCCGGCGTCTGCGGGTCGGCGCGCGCTGCCGCGGCCCGGTTGACTGCGCAGCCATGGAGAGCGGCTTCGGTTCGGACTTCGGCGGCTCGGGCAGCGGGAAGCTGGACCCAGGGGTCATCATGGAGCAGGTGAAAGTGCAGATCGCCGTGGCCAACGCGCAGGAACTGCTGCAGGTGCGGGGCGCGCCGGGATTGGTGATGGGATCCCCCCGGGTGGGTCCCCGCTGAGGCCTCGCGTGTGTCCACAGAGGATGACGGACAAATGTTTCCGGAAGTGCATCGGGAAGCCCGGGGGCTCCTTGGATAACTCGGAGCAGGTGAGACTCCCCGGGAACGGCGGGATGTTGAGGGGCGCGGGGTCACGAACTGCAGGGAGTGAGGGACTTGGCGCGTGCGCAACCCGGAGCCGCAGCCTGGCTAGGAGTTCTGCGCGTGCGCAGGAGTGAGGACAAAGGCTTCTGTGCATGTGTAATTATAGTCCTAGTGGGTGATTAATTCCGGGTCATGTGACCCTACCTCAAGCTGGAGTCTCCTCCACTGCAGAAATGCATCGCCATGTGCATGGACCGCTACATGGACGCCTGGAACACCGTGTCCCGCGCCTACAACTCTAGACTGCAGCGGGAACGAGCCAACATGTGACCGGCACCTGTTCCTCGGGACACCGTGTGCTTGCCCACGGTCGGAACTGTTTCCCTACCCGCAAGGGCAGCTTGTGTCCGGTGACCCCAAGTTGTCAGCATGGAGGGCTCGGAGATCGAGGCCTCTCCTGAGCTGCGCTGCCTAGCTCGGTCTCAGAAGAGAGAGAGGACCAGTTTGAGCGCGGGGATCTGGCTGCCCCCACCTGAGCTGTGCTGAGAGCAGGCCAATAAATGGTGACTGGGGCAGAGAAGCTGGAGTGTCATTCTGGTGCTCAGGTCCCCTCTGCATAACATAGTAGGCCTCCCAGGGTATTTTCCCCTCGGTGTCCGTGGCCTGAAAACTCTCAGGGAAGGCATTGCCCCCCCACAAGAAACAAGAAAGGAGCGGCCTTGTGCGGGACTGAGCGTGGCCTCAAGTGCCCATCATCTGGGTTGGGAACTAGGCTGGGATACAGAGCATGGTTCCCTGGCTCTGTAGAGCCATGCATGAGCCATCCCTGGCTCTGCATAAACCAAGGGTGGTGCACGCCTGTCATCCCAGCGGGGGTGGGGAGTGTGACAGCGACGGACCAACAGGACAGAAGGATGAAATTTGAGGTTAGCCTTGGGTACATAAGACTGTCTCCCACAAAAACAAAGGTACCAGTGGGCCGTCCAGAGACATGCTCTTGCCAAGACACAGGTCCTGAGCCAGAGCTAGGGAGAGGAGCTCTTTATTGGAACAACATACACAGCCACGGGTAGTTCCCATGAGACCCCTGTGCCTTCCGGCACCAGCTCCCCCGGTAGGTTGAGTGTCCAGTCCAGGCTTGGGTCGCCAGCCGCACGGTGGTCACTCCTGGATGTTCTGGCCTATCCATCCCAGCACGGCAGCCACTCGAGTGTAGACACCCGGGAAGTGGGGCCTGCCGCAGCCATAGCCCCAGCTGGTGACTCCTGTCAGCACCCACTGGCCAGATGGCTCCCTGCAGGCCAAGGGTCCCCCTGCATCGCCCTGAAGGAAAAAGCACTCTCAGACCGGCATCCCTCTGGGACCAGGGAAGACCCCACATGAGAAAATGCCAAGGTGCCTCACTTTTGCCATGTGCGGAATGGGTTCGGTGCTAGTGTCCGGGTCCCCGGGACCCAGTGTGTGTGCTGTGCCCATGAAAGCCAGAGTCAGGTGTTAGGTGTATTCTCGCCACTCCATTGCGTTTAGATGGGGACTTTCTGTGACCCTGGGAGTAGTCCCGGACATCTTCTGTTTACTGGGGGTCTGAGCTCAGGTCCTCATCTCCCTGTACTTGAGAGGGAGCTATGTGTATGTGTTGTCAGTGAGGCCGGCTCTGGCCTCAAACTCACAGTAATCCTCAGTCTCCCAACTTTGAGCTACTTAGCCCGGTCAGGACCCTCCCTCCAGTAGGATGCAGGGGTTGGGAAGCCCGCATATTGTCTTTGAACAAGCAGTTGTAACAAGTGATGTCCCCAGAGTCAAGGGTGGCTGGGCCGGAGAGACTCTTGGGCAGTCTCGATAGGAAGGTGTTTGTCACACAAGCCTGAGGACCTGAATTAAATCCCAGAACCCAGGTGAAAATCCCTAGCTCGGGCGGAGACAGGAGGGTTCCTGGGACTTAGGGATTCTCCTGGTGCTTTGAGACCCTGCCTCAAAAGACCATAGTATTGCAAGACTTAG